TTGTTCAATAGTTTTTATCTTTTTCTTAAGTAAGTCCCTTTAACATTTCATACAATAATGGCTTGGTGATGATGAACTCCTTTAGTTTTTTCTTGTCGAGGAAGTTCTTTATCTGCCTTTGAATTCTAAATGACAGCCTAGCTGGACAGAGTAATCTAGGTTGTAGGTCCTTGCTTTTCAACACTTTGAATACTTCCTGCCAGTCCCTTTTTGCCTGTGGTTTCTTTTGAGAAATCAGCTAACAAGTCTTATGGGAACTCCCCTGTAGGTAAATAACTGCTTTCCTCTGTCTGCTTTTAAGATTCTCTCTTTATTTTTAACCTTTGGCATTTTAATTATGATGTGTCTTGGAGTGGGCCTCTTTGCATCCATCTTGTTTGGGACTGTCTGTGCTCCCTGGACTTGCATCTCTATTTCCTTCACCAAATCAGGGACATTTTCTGTCAGTATTTTTTTCAAAAAGATTTCAAATTTCTTGCTCTTTCTCATCTCCTTCTGGCACCTCTATGATGCAAATGTTGGAACACTTGAAGTTGTCACAGAGGCTGCTTACTCTATCCTCCTTTTTTTGGATTCTTTTTTCTACTTGCTTTTCTGACTGGTTGTTTTTTTTGCTTCCTCATGTTCCACATCATCAATTTGATTCTCAACTTTATTCACTGTCGTGTTTCCCTGTAAACTGCTCTTTATTTCAGTCAGTGTCTCCTTGGTTTCTGACTGGATCATTCTTATGCTGCTGAGGTCCTCACTAAGTTCCTTGAGCATCCTCATAACCAGTGTTTTTCAATTCTGCACCTGACAGATTGTTTATCTCCCTTCTGTTTAGTTCTTTTTCTGGAGTTTTGATCTGTTCTTTTACTTGGGCCACGTTTGTCTCTTCTTTTTGGTAGAATCCCTGTGTTTGTTTCTATGTATGAGGGAGAGCTTCTATGACTCCCTGTCTTGCTAGCGTGGCCTAATGTACTAAGCGTCCTGTAGGGTCCAATGACACAGCCTCCCCTATCACCCAGGCTGGGTACTTGAGGTGTGTCTTATGTTTGGGCTGAGTGCCCTCTCCTCCTATAGTTAAGCCTTGATTGCTGTTGGCAGGTCAATGGAAGGAATTTACCCAGTCAGCTGCAAGGACTGGCTGTAACCATTGACCACCATCCTCCACTCTCCATGGAGGATCTGCTCTGCTGAGGCAGTATGGTGGTGCTCCAACATGGTCTGTAGTTGTCCCCTGGGTGCTCAGGCTGTGGGGATTCCCAGGTGGTGCAGGCCAATGTCTCCCCCGCCCCGTGTTCTGCCTGGGGCCACCCTGCATGAGCAATAAAGCAATCTGAGATGGCTGCTACTTGTGCTGGGCTTGAAGATTCCCAGACATAGCCAGGCTGTGAATCTAGGCTGACTGCTGCTAGTGCCAGGCCTGGCGCCACTTAGCAAGAGGATGGGGGCTAGAGGCTCACTGAGGCTTGGCTGTTGCTTGTTTGATAGAATTTAGGAAGTTGTGAAACAGGAGCCAAGACCAGCCACTCATGTGGAAAAGTCATGGTTAACTGTTTGGGGGGATCCATAAATTGGTTGGAATGGAGCCTCAAGGGATCTTCAGGCCAGGGCAAAGAGTTTTAGCCAGGTTGATGGAGTCTCAGGTATGGCATTTTCTCTGTGGCTTTTTTGGGGGAGGGCTCTAAAAAGGGACAATGGCCTCTGTCCACTTTTCTGTCTAGGAGAAAGCTGTCCCCTAGGTCCTGCCTTGATGCCAGGCACTTCAGTTCTACCTGTATTCTACTGTTGCCTTTCAAGCTGCTACCCTGTTGCTGGAGCTCAGAGGAAGTTAGTCTGAGTAATTTCATGTGGGGGTCCTTTGACGGGTAACTGCTTGGGACTCCAGAAACTTCTTCCACTGACTCAAACCCCACTGTTTTTTGCAGACAGAAGTTATGAGGACTTACCTTGCTAGCATTGGAACCCCTGGCTTCTATTCAACTCAATTTCTGACGATTCTGAGTAATGGCTGTTCTATATTTTAGATGTAACTTTGATGTGGTTGCATGAGGAGGCAACCCCTGTTTTACTATGCTGCCATCTTGACCAGAAGTTTCTTGTCTTTTTGATAAGAACCATATGAACAGTGTGAGGTGATATCTCATTGTGGTTTTAGTTTGCATTTCCCTGTTGATTAGTGATGTTCAGCACCTTTTCATATACGTGTTCTTTGAAAAAAATGTCTATTCAGATCATCTGCCCATTTATAATTGAATTGTTCAGGGTTTTTCAATTGTGTTGTATGAGTTCTTTATATATTTTGGATATTAACCCCTCATTAGACATAAAATTTACATATATTTTCTCCCATTCTATAAGTTTCCTTCTCATTTTGTTGATGGTTTCCTTTTCTGTGCAGAAGCTTTTTAGTTTGAGGTAGTCCCACTTAATTTATTTTTGCTTTTCTTGCCTTTGCTTTTGGTGTCCAAGACAAAAAAAATCATTGCCAAGACCAATGTTAAGGAGTTTACCACTAATATTTTCTTCTTGTTTTATTATTTCAGGTCTTAGGTTCAAGTCTTTAATCCATTTTGAGCTTATTTTGTGAATGAGTGAGGACAGTGATCCGGTCTCATTCTTTTGCATGCATCTGTCCCATTTTCCAACACCATTTATTGAAAAGACTCTCCTTTCCTCACTGTATATTCTTGGCTCTTTCTTCATTAATTGCCCAAATATGTGTGGGTTTATTCCTGAGCTCTCTATTCTGTTCCACTGATCTACGTGTCTGTTTGGGCCAATACCATACTGTTTTGATTACTATGGCTTTGTAATATAGTTTGAAATCAAGACGCGTGATGCCTCCGCCTATATTATTCTTTCTTAAGATTGTTTTGCCTACTATTTGGGGTCTTTTGTGGTTCCATACAAATGCTGGGAATCAAGTGCTTTTTAATGGTCAGAAAACATTCCATAACATAAATCTATCATTACTTAAGCATGTTACTGTCCAGAAAAAAAGGGACTTTTCAAGGTTAATATTGCCTTTAACGTACTTAAAAAAAAATTCAACTCAGAAATGTTACTAGACTATGGTTCTAACAGTACTTTTGTTTTTCTTTCCAAAATAACATTCAATGATCGTTTTATTCTCAATTTCTCTCATGACTTGAATTGTTTAAAAACAGGTAATGAAAATGCCTGGTCTCCTAAATTCAGATTCTTATTTAGAGTGCCAAAATGACAAATATCCCTGACCACCTGTTTACAACTAATCTGTACAAAGGGAAAAATAAATCCAGTGCAGAGATTCCCAGATTCCTTCTCTTTTGTAATGCCCACTCTTGCCTGTCCTTGCTATAGCTGCCATACTTGATCCTTCATGTTTTCATATTCCTACATTTCAGAGTTTAGAAAAATGACTAACACTTTGTTTTCTATCGTTTCTGCTTTATGAGCTCTCCAAATCCATAGGTACAACAGTTTTGAAGTCAGGCCTGCATTAGAATCCTGGTTCCATCAACAGTTAAGGGAATCAGGCAAATCACTGAAACACTCTCTGTGCTTATGTCTTCTCAGCTGTAAAGTGTGGCTAATAGTATCTGATGCTTGAATATTAGACTAGAAATGTACTCAAAGTGCATAATGCAGTGCCTGGCACACTACAAGCCTTCATACACAGTGGTTACCACTGTCATATTATTTTTACTGCTCACGTTTCCTTATACTCTTTGGAAATGGCATTTTTGTTCCTTGACTTGTACCCTAATATCATCAGGCCAAGGGAGATACAGAAGGAAAAGAGAAAGTCCCTGCCCAACAAAGGAATCTATGAATTTGCGAATACGGAACTAGAGAAGGAAGACAATCACCAATCTCAAAGTCCAAAGAGGAAACCTAACAAGAATCAAATGGTTGTTTGAGATAGGTATGTTAACTTGAATAAAAAGCAAAATGGCTCAGAGATCCTCCAATTGAAATAAGTAAATGCACAGAAATCCCTTAATGGCACTTTGAAAAATTAAATAAAACATAGCTTTTCAGTGGCAACCTACTTTCCATGTGGAGCTATTTTTCCAGATAGTATTAAAATTAGTTTCCTATCTCAAGTTGCACCTGCTAGATCACTGAACATTTGTATTATTAAGTCTGGACTTAAAGTGCTTTCAATGTGAATTTTCCTCCTACTGTGCCCATCTGTTCTTTTCTTGTGGGCCCAGAGGAAGCTAAAACTTAATAAATGCTCAGTTCTCAAATTTCTTTATATTTTCATTTCAGCATTTATATCCATTTACGAAAACTGTAATACTGCAGAAACTTAACTCACACTTGATTTTCCTTTTCTCACTGTCCAAGTGGTCACTTATTTTTATGGAAGTCACCATACATACAAGAAGCCAAGAGAAACAAACAATTATAACTCTAAAAGGTACATCTGTCAGGGAGGGCAACTGATAACTCTAAACTGGTAATTCTAAAATATCTCATTTATTCATATAATACTAGATACATAATTTATGAATTATCCAGTGTTGTGGACAGGGCCAGTTCAGGTAGGTGAAAGAATCAAGGCCCCTGCCTACTTGTGATTGCTCATCAAAGTCAGCAGTGACCTTCTTCACAGGATGCATTTCACCGAGCAATGCTGCTGCTCCACTCAGTAGGTAGGGGGCATGGTGAGCTCTCTTTCCATGACTACTTTCCTGGCCATGATGTCAGGCCTGACAGATTAAAATTATTCATACCTCATTTATCCTGGTGTAGTGTTAATATCTGACTAAACAAACACTTGTTTTACTTTAAAAATCACAAGTGCAAAAACAAGCTAAAACCAGCAAAGAAACGGATGGTTGCCACATTAAAAACACTATATGCTACAAACATAAATTCAAGGTGCATATAAGTACTAGACATAACATGGCTACTTATAAAACTCCTTAGCAGGCAGAGGTCTGGAGGAAGGTGTTAGTTATTGGCAAGCTTAAAGTAGACTAAAAAGAAAAAAATAAAACAAACAAACAAAAAAAACCTACCTCAGCAGCTGCAAGGCTGATGCATACTCCTCTGAATCCCATATGTTCTTTTCTAAACATGTGCAGTACAGCTCTCTGATCTGCAAATGAACAGCAACTTATGAGGAACCAAAAGTGATGTACTAAAGTTTGTACACCACTAGTTTAACAAAATCCACATAAATGGTCAAGACAAAAATTAATGTTTTTAATTTTTGAAAAAATAATCGTTTTCTTTAGATGACAAAAGAACTGGCATAAATCACATGGATCAGGCTTTATAAAAACATCATTTACGTATAAGCAAAACAAAATCACATTGGGATTGGGATTGGCTATTATCACTAGTCACTTTGCAATATGGAAATCATAAAAATGATAATGGAGTTATTAAAAAGGCTTAATGGCAAATTATCTTATGAACAAAACATTTTTACATATTTATTATCCAAACTTTTGAGATAAGGATGCAAAGGTTTAGGGATACAAAATCCTTCCATTAACATCCACTGTACAGATGGTTTATGGTATGTATGACACAAAGGCCAGCAGAGTGTAATCTTGCAAGGAGCAGAAGTACTGCTTCTCTTTTAGTTCTTGGTACAATGCAAGGTTAACCATAAAGCGTTCTCAAACAGGATTTTTTCATTTAATTAAGGTGCAAAATCAGCTCTTATTTTAAGTGATGAAAAGTATTAAAGAGAGAAAGGTAAAATCCTTAGCACAAGTACACTGTAGTAGAAGCAACACTACTGGGATTCATGTGGTTGTTCCTAGCTGTGGCTATCAGAACAAAAAATACTGTTTCAATTACTAGTACTGTGTACAGCTGACTGGATTTAGATTAGCACTCACTGCAAAATTTAAATTTATTTCAAATTCTGATGCCTAAATGCTACCAAAATCAAAACAAGAAACTACCAATATTCTACTTCATGTATTCCAAATTAGGAAATTTGGGTTACCTGTCGACCCAATGGGTACTTGGGAAGAGAATAAGTGAACTGATGAAGACATCTCAAAACCAGAAAGTAATTCATATGGTAAACATGCAGGTTTTCTAGTAATGATTGTGTCTCCTCCTAAAAATCACAGAAGACATAAGTGAGCCACTAATTTTTGAAAATAATAAATCCATTTCATGGTGATATATAATTTCTGAAAAACTGACAAGAAATGATTCAGAATTACAAATTATCCTCCTTAATTCTGAGAATTTATAATATACACAAAATCCAGAATAAAGGATATTTTTGGTTTAGTATCAAGTCTGCTGATATTTTACACACACTAACATTAATACTATAATTTAATTTCCTCCTATCTACAGTATTACCACAGTAACTTGGCCCCCTAAAATACAAGTGTGCAAAACAGCACCATGTTGGATGCCTGCCTATGCCTGTCATGTGTAACACAGCAAAGTAGGCCCATCACCCTCTACCTCACTGGCATCAGAAGAGTGAGGAAACAACCAATACCAATGTAAGTAACAGCTGCTGAGGTTCCATTTGTGATGTATGCTTTCTTAAAGTACTGCTGGTGTTGTGTTTGAACGGGAAGAAATCACTGTAGATGCAACACCACAAGTGATTCTTCTGCCTTTTGTTGAAGATCTCCAATGTGTTCAGGTTTTATTTACTTTAGCAATAAGAATAAATAGTGGAAAAAAAAATCTAAAACCAACAAGCTTTATAATTTAGAATCCAGCAAGTATGATACAAGAGATAGTGTCTTAAGAAATCTATAAAATGACAAACCTTACAAATCAATTTCAAAAGGCTTTTTGGGGGGAAGGGAAGTTGAGGGGAAGAAGCATTGTTTTCTAGAGCCTTCTGGAATAGTTTAGAAATAATTTTAAAACACTTTTCAGGCCTCAAGTATTTTCATAACTGCTTACTTCTATAATGTTTTCTTAAGAGGATTATGATCTGTAGTATGGTCTTAAGTTTTTTTTCTTCTAAGAAGTCAAAAGACTTTAACTACTGGGCTGTCTTTTTTTCTTTTTTTTTCAGTAGTATCTTGCAGATACCCATTAATTTTAGCAGTCAACCATGCAGAAAATAACACTTCAAGTATTGAAATAAATTCAAGCAAGTCTGATCCATATTAAGCAACAAATCTGAGATATTTTCCTAAACTCTAAATCACTGAGAAAATCAATTCCTTGTTCAGCAATCTACAGGTCATGACCTGAAAGGCTGGGGCAAATCAAAGGAAAGCTTTAATATCAAAATGTTTTTCCTCCCAGTATTTTAGCTAGTTGGTAATTTCAAAACTCTAGGTCTCCTATCGTCAGTACACACCGTACTTGAACCACGACTGGGAGAGCAGACTCTAATTATATGCTGACTGCAAGCCAGTGATTTTCAACTGGTATGCCACAAGAATTTTTAAAATACGCACTACCTGACTGTTTAGTTATGGGCACTCATCTCTTCTCCCTTAGACTGACAAATAAAAAAATGACAACACAATAGCCGTCCAGTGTGAATGAATCAAAATTATACCTATTTTTTTCTCAGATGGACAAGTATATTTTTGATGTGCTGCAGAATTTTATTAATTAGTTTATGTGTGCCATGAGATGAACAAGATTGAAAAATCAGTGCTATAAGCTATAACATAGAGACTGCATAAAGCCAGTAATTGCTTTCCTTGATAAGTGCTAAAATAGGTCTTAAACAGGGGGAATATTCTAGAGAACAAGGAATCTATCACTGAATGATAATCATACTTTATGCTACTTGCACTAATTATTACTTTTACTCTGTGCAGTAACTATATGTACAAATAATTGAGTGATACAGTAGAACTGAATAACACCTTCACTGAATATTCTTGGATGAGGAGAGAAAATAAATACTTCACACAGTACAGGCAATGCTGCACACTCAAGGAACTGTGCCTTGGAGTATAAGGAGAGAGATGAACCTGTTTTTCTCCAATATGGCTTTAGTCTCTTTGTACTTCTCACTGTGTGATTTACATCCCTGTGTTGAGTGGAAGGAATTCTAGCATTTTTTGAGTGGAAAACAATGTTTTGTTTTGTTCATATAACATGGCCAACTATTTCATCTGATACTCAACTAGGGAAATGGTTTCTGGTTCAAACACTGCAAGTAAAACTGGCTCTGATGGGACTTAATAAGAGGATTTCTGTTACACATTCCTAAGGGAATTATGAAAGTAATTTTGACCATTCCAGATCTTTGCTTTATGTGTTGACTTTAGAACCTAATCACCACATAAGATTCCACTGTTATTTATATCTGAGTTTTCAGGTGCAGCAGAAAATATCATAAATGACTAACCTCACTTTTTTCATGTAATCTACTAAGTTGTTTTTTTTTTTTAAGTTCTTTGTCTTATAAAAATACATATCTGAAAATGCCTTTACTTATCCAGGCTAACAATTCCTAATGCACTTTATGAACACCCTTTTATAAACTCAAGCCTGTAGGAGAAAATTTCCCATTTACTACACTATAGCAGCATCACACTAAGAACATGCAAAAACAAAGTCTGTCAATGTAATAATTCTGTTTTCCTATACTTAAATTTTTCCTTCAGTATCTTTTCTGTATACTAGTCATAGCTGCCACTGTTTTATTTCATAATTGTATTTAGGATGATTCTTTTCAACAGAGATACACTTTGCCTAGGAATACTATTGATTTCCCAGAGAGAGATGCTTTCTTCTGTTATTGAAACACAAACGTCTTTTGGTCTTTACTAATCTTTGATGTAGACATGGGAACAGAAATACTTCTCTACTTTAAGAAAAACAGAGCAAATACATAGAAGCCCCTTTACTCTTTAAAGATGCCAGACATGCTCCGACCTCAGGACTTTTCACTTGCTATCACTCTGCTTGGAATTCTTTTCCTCCAGGTTTCTGCATGTCAAGCTCTACAACTTTAGGTCTTTACTCAAAATTTACCTTATTTAAAATTTCAACCCCACTCTGATATACACCAAACTTCATATTCCCTTTTTCTCCTCCACTGCTTTCTCCTTAGCAATTATCACTGATATTTTACCTATTTAATGTGATAGCATATAAGCTCCATGAAGGCAAGGGTTTTTGTCTATTTTGTTCACCTCTGTATTCTCAACACCAAGATTAATGCCTTGCACACAAAGTAGGCACTCAAAAAATACTTATTGAATAAGGAAGCGCATTAATAATGAAGGTCAACACTCAGTCACTCTTCCAAATAAGAGCAACTGCTTATTGTTTTGCTGGATGTGGGCCAAATTTACTAACTTTTCAGAAGAAAACAAAAGTTTGAATTTGTAATGTAAATTTTCTCAATTCGTAAATGTTGACTCAGATTTTCAAAAAAAAAAACACACACAAAAATGGAACTAAAAACTGCATTTATCTTGGTCTGTGGGTTGCCAATGTGTATTCCCTTTAAAATCAGCTGTCTCCAATCACAGCAATCCTGTCATTCATTCAAAAATCATTCACTTATGTTTACTTATATGAAAAGGACTGTATCTTGCCTGAGCTAGTTAATTCCTTTGGAGGAGTAGCCAATGGCTACATAAAACTTAAATACAGGTAAAGAAAAGAGGATCAGGTAGAATTATATTTGTCATGACGCTTAGTTTTTGCGTTTATTTCTCTACTAATTTCCATAGTACTTATCACCTTTGTGTCTACATTATAAGTATAGGGTAAAGTGTGACCTCAAAAAGATTTAAAGAAAGTATATAAAAATGACTGTAAATTTTTGTAATTTGTTCCTTTCAATCAATTTACTGAATAAAAGTTGGTAGAAGTTATACTGAATTGTAGGATTAAGAGATAGCTGTCCAAGAACACAGAATACTCTTTCATTTATCATCTTGATGAACTAAGTATTTTTTTTTCTCATTTGAGAAAAGTCTGACAATGTTTCCCACACTTGACTTATCATATTAAAACTACCTAATTGTGTGCCAAACACAGCTTTCTCCCAGGTCTTGTGTGGCATGAGTGCTAGCCTGAAATCTGTCTCAGCCTTTTGTTATCCATATTCCTGCTCCACCAGTTAAGCTCAGAAGAACTCGAAAGTTTTGGAGTTAAACTGCCAATTTCTAACACACTACTAGGCTAATGCCTCACTTGTTTGATCACACTTGTTAGTTTGTTTTGCACTTGTTTTCTTTTTTCTCTTTTTCTCTTATTATTTTTTCTAATAGATTTTCCCCCTCCTCTTGTCCTTGAGATTTGTCAAAAATAAAAAATAAAAAATAAAAAACCCACCAGAAAAGAAGAGTTGAGGGCAGAGGTGAAAAGCAGGTCTCCATCAAACCACTGAACTACTTTTGTGCCTTTTTTGATGAAGCACCATAAGCAGCATACTAAATGGTGAAAAAGAGTCCTTGCTCTGTGACTTCACATATTTCACTTCCTTTCTCTTGGCTGCAGTATTTCATTTGTAAAATGAGCTTGCTCAATCAGGTTATCTTTCTAATAGTAATGCTATATTAAATTCTAAGAAGTTCAAGATTTACTTCCCACTCTCGATGGATTTTAAATCTAGTTGAGCACATAGGCACAGAAACAAAACATTAAAAAATTAGAGTAATAAAGATTCAACTGTCACCTGCAAGGGAGGGAATCTAAGTTTTCTACACAGCATGAAGTTTAAGCCTTTAAACAGTTGAAATCATGCCAAATAGCTTTTAAAAATATTTAAATAAAAAACATATACCTTGATTTTCTTAACTGAAGTATATGGAATTAGTAATTCATTAAATATACTGAAAATAATGTAACTTCTTACTGACACGACCAGATCAACATGAGTAATAAATCAATTACTGGTAATATAGATTATGTGGTTGGTGCAGAGTGCCTATGATTAAAATGGACCTAACCTAAATTATGGTGTTGGGACTCGTTTTAAAAAAATATTTTTAAATAAAGTGTGTATGTGTCTCTACATAAATGACATTGCATATATATATAAACTATGTAATGACATAACTATATATGAAATCTGTCCAGAAGTTATCCAGCCACATACTATGAAAAAAAAGGGATTTATTTAAGAAGATAGAAGAAACACTGTACACTGGACAATGA